TTATTTTGAAGATGACCATAGTTTTTTTGAATAATGTTCCAATCAAAGGTTACAAAAAGGAGGCTAAGGATTTAATTTTAAGAAAAGATGGATGCCAAACATTTATAAAGAAATATATTGAAGATGTAGAGTGAATTTTAAAGATACTTGAGGAGATAAATCTTATTTTATTCTATGAAAAGTTCAGACTTAGATTTTAAAAAATTATGGTCGTTGGAAATTTTTGCAAAAGCTATGGAAAGAAACCAAATCTATATAAGATAGATGCCATAATAAGAATGAAGGCATATGAAAGTACTACCTAAGTAAGAAGATTTTTAAATGCTTATATATTTTATTATATATAGATTTTCTATTATGCTCATATTGTAGAGCTTTTGTATCAATTATTGAGAAAAAGAAAGAAATTTGCATGGAATGAGGAGCAAGAGTTGGCCATGAAAAGATTAAAGGTGGTTTTGAAATCACCAACATTATTAAAATAAGTAGACTGTAATTGTGGAAGATCAATGATAGTGATAATTGATACAAGTTCTATAGCCATTGAATGGAGATTAAGCAAGATGATATAAAAGATAATTAGTTTGGAATTAGATTTGGAGCAAGGATTTTTACTAAGATGCAAAGAGCTTATCCACAAGTAAAAAAAGAACTTTGAGGTATACTAATTATTTTGAAGGGTAAGAGGTATTACTTGATAAGTATTCATGTAGTATTGGAGACCAATTTCTTGCATTTTCTTGAAATTATTTTCAATGGTATTACATCAAATATTGCTATGCTTAAATGAATTGCTTTCATCAAGGTTATAAATCCAATTTTGGTATACATTGTCATGTTATAATATGACTATATGATAAAAATATAATCAAAAATAAATTTCTAATTAATATCTAATTATCTTAGTTTAATAATAATTCAAGGTATTTAAATATGGCTTTTATAAAAGCCTCTTAGTTTATTTTCTTGTCCTAATAGTTGGTAGATTAAAGGTTGGTTAGTAATTTTACCTTCAAGGCTATAGAGACTCTTTTACTACCTTAGAAAGACCATAAATTAATAAAATCAAGTTAAAAGAGGATAAATAATTAGCATGGTTGATACTAGAATTAAGTTGAAGGTAGGATTGGGCTAAAAAATCCCTATGATAGGTTAAATTGATACCCATAGGTTGATTATTTGTGAGATAGGGTCAAAATCAGATGTCTAGCCACTAAAACAATTGCCTAGGATAAAATAGGGAGGCATTTAAAGATCAGCAATTAGATTCGGAGAGCTAGCTTAGAGCTTCTTTTAGAAATGCAAGGTTTTTTTTTCATAAGATTTTATTTGATTTTGCAATTTTTGTTCAAAGTTAGGATTTGTATTGGTAACTTAGAATTTATGCAATACAATTAGGGCTAGCACTCTTGGTTAGTTATCACATCTATAGTTCAAAATTTGATAATGCTTGTTTAATTGAGTTTCCTAAGTATATGTAAAATTTTGTAATAATCTAATAGTGCAATTGAAAGATATCTAGGTTTTGATACAAGAAGGTATTCAAAGTTGACAGTTTGGAGTTGGATAGGATTTCTATGATATCTAAAGATCTACTAATTGAATCAAAGTAAAATTTGACATGATATTAGAAGACTTAAAGATTAAGCTACATATTAATTTTGAGTTGAAGTTAATAGTTTAAGAAGGAGAAACCATTGTTGGAACATTTGCATCAACTTTCAAGTTGGAAGCCAAGTAACATTAGTGTGGTTTTTGGATATTTTTTTACAATTTGTAAGTTGGATTGGGATGAATTCTTTTTGAGCACCTAAAAGACTTATAGTGGCATTTAAGTGAAAAAAATTACTCTAAATAGAGAGATAGATTAGGAGCTATAGCTTGCTAAAGCTTATTAATTAGGATTAGGATTTATAAAGAAAATTCAAAATTACCTAATTATAAAAGTAATAAAGCAATTGGAGTTTATGTCTGGTTAAGATTACTAAGAGGGCTGTTTTTGAGCACTTTTTATTGAATTTAAGCACTTTTGAATTAAAATTCAAATTACATTCTTCTTCTAAGGGTTAAACATATTAAGTTTCTTAAATACTTATAAAACACAATCCCACCCTCTACAATTAGATGCCCAGTGTATTTCCAAACAAGATGACACGTAATACAATAATATCATAGCAAAAAAGAATGTGGTGGCAAATATATTGTCAAAAACAAAGTACTTAAAGGAGAAAATAATGCTTGTACAAGAAGAAGATGGAGACTTGGCCGAAGGCTTTGTATTTGCTACAAGTGGAAGAGATGAAGGTGATCAAGTTCTATCTTTCAAATTTAATTTGTATGAAAGGAGGTTGAGAGACATTACCTTGTATTTGAGCATAATAAAGAGGCAAGAAAGTTGGTTGGATAAGACCTTTAAGGATATTAAGTACTAATCCTACAACTATCTTTTACATGATATGTTCTTGTAAAAAAAAGCCGAAGAAGAGAAATAGTATGGCATTTAGAGTGGTAGATGATTTAGAGACCAAATACAAGGTATTTGGTGAATTTCATGATACAGTGTAAGCCAGGCATAGAAGAATTTAGGATACTTATACTAAGATCAAAGAACACTATTGGTTGAAGGACTTATATAAGGATGTGGAGGAGATTGTGAGTTCTTGTAAAGAGTGCCAATTGCAATTCAAGTATTTGATTTTGGCAAGATAAGAACTCCCCAATTATATAGAAGGAAAGACATTTAAGTTAAAGTTTATAAAGGAGGTATGTCAGTTTATTTTAGAAGATATTAAATATTACTATAGAAGCATTGGAAGAATGAAAGCAAATCGAAGTGAATTTGATGGAATAGAGGCACATGATTTCTTCACAAGATATGAGGTGCAATTGAAATTGACCATCTCTTACAATCTTGAAACCAGTAATAAGAATAAAAGAAAGCATCCTCTAATCATTCAAGTTTTGGTCAAAGCATGTAGGAGTCAATCAAGATTATAGCTTAAGCTTTTGTTATTTGTTTTATAGGCAAATACGATTACTCATAGTACAATTACTAGTTATATTCTAGTAGAATTGATGTTGGGACAAAAGCCCATAATGCCTACAAAGTAGTCTAATTTTCTTGGTTGTTTTTATCTTGAAAAGATGGTATTGACATAGAGAGATTGTTAGAGCTTTAAATTTGCTAATTGGAGAGATTGCTTGAGGAACATCAAGTTGCTATGAAGAGGCTTAAGGCAACAAGATTGAATAATAAAGAGATGTTTGACAAAGCTTACTGATTGATGCCTAAGCCAATTAAAGAAGATAATTGGATTTTGATTTATAATAGTAATTTGGTGCACCAACATTCTATTCTTTGTAAGTTTACATAGCAATGGTTTGGACTCTATGTGGTGGTTGAAGTGCATGATAAAGTAATATATTATCTTCAAAAGTTGAAATGGGATGAATTGTGTAGAAGATTTACAGGCTTTTGAGCCTCAACATTTTGATTGACAATTCAAAAGTAATATGGCTCACAATGACTTTGATTTTGATGATGTAGGTGTTATGATCTAATTCTTTGGGATATACTAAAATATATGTAAATTTGGAGGGGATGAGTATCAAATGCACTAAATTGAAGCGCATTAAAGTTATTTTGAGGGCAATTAGTTTTACTTATAAGAAGGGAAAAATACAATACTAATATATTTACAAATTTGAATGGAATTTATAATAGGAGATTGTTGTCTTAGATGGATTGTTTAAGCTTTGAAAATATTGCCTTTTAGGATACATATCTGGCTCAATAAGAGTTTAAGGCAGATATTGGATGAAGGTTAAGGTGGAGGTTTTGGCATCAAATAGATTGTTATTTTTTTTTGCTTGGGCTAAGGTGAGGTAGGATGAGGGTTGTAATTTTGGGTGACAAGATTCAAGATTAATTTGAAGTTTTTCATGCCATTTATTATGTTTATATTTTTTGTTTTGAAATTTTGAAGATAGCTAGATCTTATTGTTAACTTTCCAACAAGTCTTTGCTTGGAAGAAAAGAGAGCTGTGACAATGGAAATTTAGGCAAATTTGTAAGAGGGAGGTTATTCGAATTTTCAAACAACAAGATTTAAGACCAATTTGGGTTTTTCCATGCCATTTATTGCATTTTCATCTTTTTGTTTTGAGATTGTGAAAGAAGCTAGATCTTGTTGTTAGTTTTCCAAGAAGTCTTTGCAAGCAAGAAAAGAGAGTTGTAACAAGGGACATCCAAAAAAATTTGTAGAAGGAGAATTGCTAAATATTTTAGGCAATGAGATTAAAGACCAGTTTGGGATTTCCTATGCCATTTATTGCATTTTCATCTTTTTGTCTTGAGATTTTGAAAGAAGCTAGATCTTATTATTAGCTTTCTAACAAGTTTTTGTATACAAGAAAGGAAGTTGTGACAAGAGAGATCTGTGCAAATTTGTCGAAGGGAGTTGCTAAAATTTTAGCAATGAGATTCAATACCCGTTTGGAGTTTTCCACGCCATTCACTGCATTTTCATCTTTTTGTTTTGAAATTTTGAGAGAAGTTAGATCTTATTAATAGCTTTCCAATAAGCCTTAGCACACAAAAAAAAAAAAAAAAAAAAAAAAAAAAAAATCCAAGCTAATTTGTGGATTGGAATTTTGAAGGTTGTGGCTACAACAAACGTCATGGGTGCCGTGATCGAAGAAACAGCAGCGACATGGTGTCACCTTCAACAGACGTTTTTGTGGAAAGTATCCTTCACCATGCGACGAAACTTTGACGGAAAGCACCGTAGCAAAGCTTTTCACGTAGACACAAAGTAGGTGCGGGCAGCTGTTTCGATATTAGTGGTGATAATAGCATGCCTTGAACATGTCCAAAGCAACTGTCGTACAAGTCGCACAAAAAAAAAAAAAAAATAGTTTTTACAAATCAAGATGCACTAATTTATACATGTTCCACCATTCAACTACAGAAGTCCATGCCCAGCTCATACTCCACCTCAATCGTTGCAAAAATTGACAAGAGAAGAAAGCACCATTGTTGGGACTTCCGTTCACCCTTGTCACCAGCAGCAGGCCAGTTTTGAGCATTAAATCGGTTCCAAATTTCTGAAAGCTAGAGATTCATCACCACGGGACATTCATCCCGCTCCAAATCAGGTATTCCACCACTTGAAACAAGGCCGACAGCTCCAATAACTCTACAGCTCAAATCTTTTAATTACTCCACAACCCAATTCTCCAAAGCTATCGAGATCAGGATCATCAGAACCTGACCAGAAATATGTAATATTAATCTTTGGTAGTCTAGAGAATTGGTGGGACGCCGATTACAAGACCTTTAGGTACGGAGTCATTTTTGCCCCTCAATTAACCATCTATACCTTGATGCATCCTGTACATTGGCTCACCTTCAACAACAAGCCAGAAGAATGGCAACGAACAAAAATTTTAAACCTGGTTATTGTATATCTGACCAATAATGTTTTCTTTTTGGCCTGATATTTGAACTGATTATCATAGCCAAGTCCTACTTTGCAAGAGAATCCTTCATCTCAGCATCTGTTAATATTCTTTCTGCAGCATCGATACACATGGCAGTCCCTTCCTTGTCCACGGATACATGACTGCACACGCCTGACATTGGTAACTTTCCACTACCCTTCAAACCTTCTGCATCACTTCCGATTCCCACAAATGCGGGTTTTGATGGTCCCTTGTCCGAGGACTGCCCACTCTTTCTGATAAGACGAACAACAAATCAGCAAAAATATGCATCAAACCACATACGCTAGCAAACAGAAACAATGATTCTAAGTTTTCCAGATGACTACATAAAACACGTATGACAAATGTTTCAAGAGCAACTAACCTTTTTCGAGAATCCAAGAAACGCCTGAGTGAGCTTTTCCGAGCAGTAGGCAGAGCTGCAGAGAAAAAGGTGAACAGGTAAATGGATGAACTTGTCGGATTCAGAACGAGAGAGAGAGAGAGGCAACAGCACTAATTCACTTACGTTTCGCCATCATGTCTGGCCTCGATGGTTGAGATGAGCCCTCACTCGTAATTATCGGCTTGAGAGGAGCTGAGGACAGCTCGGTGGAGGTCGTCTTTGCAGGATCTGAACTCTCTGTAGGCTTTTGGACAGAGGTTGAACCTTCGACAGGATTACCTGAAGGTACCGGAGCAGAGGGAACAGAAGAGGGATTGGATTCCCGAGGTTCTTGTAATGGTTCAGATTCTAAGGTAGGGGTAACGACTGGAGTAGGCTTAGGTTGAGATGAAGCTCCTGACAATGGTGTTACAGGCTTCGGTGCTTGAGCATTATCAGGAATCCCTGCTTTTTCAGCAAATATCATAATAAGGCGTGCCTGTATCAGCATAAAAATAAAGTCGTCAAACATGTGCAAAACGATCGTCGAAAGCTAGATAAAAATCAATTAATCGAGAAGAACAAAAGGAGAATATTGAGCTCAAGTGGTTCACCTGGTCTGCCGGAACATTGTCAGTGACACTCACGATTCCGTCATAAAAGATCGTTAGAGCTGCAGTTCGAGGCCGTTTCGAAGGGGTCTTAGGAGCAGGCCTGTTAAGATATCAAAAAATTGCTATCACCATCATGAATCAAAAAAAATGAAGCACATAATGCTATTTAAAATAAGTAATGCTGAGTAATGAGAGAAACTTTACATTTCTCGCGATGAAGTGGATGCTAAGGCTACCGAAGCTGATTGCTTGGGGACAGTCGAGGTTGGTTCAACTGTTTTTGGAAAAAGCTCTGGGGCATCTCCAGTTGCTTTAGTTATTATGATCTCTTCTGTTTTTTGCCTTGGAGCAGACATGGCTGCACACCACACTTACTTGTTAACAACTAAGCGAAACATAATGATGGCAATAAAATCAGGAAACATTTCAGTAAGGAACTTCCAAAACCAGGAGCCTTACCCCTGGTAGGTCTGCCATAATGACCAGCAGGTGTCTGAGCAAGCGCTTCCAAGGCCCGACTAGCGAGTAACCTTAAAGAGTTTTGTTCTTTCTGCACAGCGTCAGATGTCCCACTTGGAACGCGCTCCTGTATTCCCTCTTCTTTGCGATCGATCGCCCTTCGCTGCATCAAATAACACGCAAACATTCCTTGATTACACAGGTAAGAAGAGAACTTGTACTATTTCGACAATGAGATCGTGCTGGCCTGGCCAAAAAATAAATTTGTAAAAAAATGAATTCCTTAATGAGTTTGAATGGACATAAAAAATTCTAAATTCTAAATTCTAAATAATGAAAAAAAATACAAAAAAAGTGAAATTATAAGGGAGCCTACATTTGCTTGTGATGCTGTTGTTCCATTCCAAGTGGGCCAACGCGTCCCTGCATAGACAGAACTGAACTCTCATAAACATATGTAAACTGATACAGCAAAAAGCGTCTCGAGTCACCAGTATATCAGCAGTTGGTGCTAATTTGAATCAGGATCCGGGAAACCCAACGAATCGTATGGCTTATACCAGCAGGTACCCAACACTGACATGAGACTAAAAACTTCGCAAGTCTGCCGATAGTGAAGTGACCAACATGAGCAGTCTTTGAACAGCGATCTGGCTTCCTAACAAGGTACACGACAGTAAAAATTCTCACAAGCCAGATTTGGTTACTCTCAATTCACATTCCATGAAATAGGGCAGATGGTTCGTGAGGTACGAAAAATGCAGAGTTTGAGCAGGCGCACGGAAAGAAAAGAGACCATGCTTACCAAGTTTGAGAATTAGCTTCAAATTTTCATCTGCCGATAAGTTTTGCAAGTCAGTTTCCAGCGGCAGCTCAATCTTGTCAGCAAATCGTCCACTTTCTTCTCGAAGAGAAGTATATACCCCTGCCTCGTCTTTGCCCTTCAAATCCTCACTAACGAGCCGTAACCCAGTCCCTGGTAATCCGAGCCGGGTGCTGGGAACACTCGACCTGTAGAATCCTGTGAAACCACCGCCGGATACCATACCCGTCCTCTCACTGCCCGCCCCCGAACCTAAGTTGCGCAAGCTCGGCATTCCAGGAGAAATGCTAAGGTTTCCAACGGTAGGAGGTTTCAAACTAAATCCACTATTCGCACCACCCGCCAACATATTTAGGCCATTTCTCGAAAGAGAGGACATCATATTAAGATACATAGATTCTTCCCCTGCTCCTGCACTTGCTTGCCTTGCTGGAAATCCTACTATCTGAGCACTACTTGTGCTTCTGCTTGTTGTTCCAAGCGACAAAAAATCCCGGTCGCCGCTATCTTCTACATCTCCCTCCATCGATGACATCTGCGTTACACAGATCCCCCCCCAATCCACACCCTTGAAAATTTTCCCAAACCATACAGCTCTCAAAATTCAACCCACCGCCCTACTCCCACCATCATCGCTTCATCATTTTTCTTTCTGTCCGTTGTCCTCGTACCCATCTACACTAGCCCCGATTTTCAACCATTAGGGTTACCCACATGTAGCAAACCAACGATACATCCGCCCCACTCACTGCCCCTCCGTGGGGCAGCTTACAAACTCTCCCGCACTCCTCGGCTCTACGCCTACCCTTGGTACCAACACGCCCGAACAAACATTCCAAACCAGGATCCCCCGAATGCTCCAAGAATTGACCGCTCCAACACCCTGTTTCGCCACGATCTTCAAATACCAAGAAAAAATCGCCTTCAACAACCCCAAACTAAGCACATTCCTTTCCTCGACTCACACTTCGCCCTACTTCTTCCTCCACAGGCTTGCATGTAGTAGTAAACCCCAAGCAGCTCTGAGCTTAAGCACGTTGGATGCACGTATGTCCAGACCTCTTGACTAACGTGATCTAAACTCTGCATCAGTGAAGGGAGGGCGTGGGATCATTGATGAGACCTCCTCGTGCGAAATAGTACATGGTAAACCAAGTCATATGAACCTGCGAAGATGTGATGCGGCTTATGTGGGAGGTGCAAGTAAGGAAAGCAATGGGAAATTGACGGAGGGTGAAGTAAAGCAATCTAAGGGGATACTGTTTGCAGGAAGCCGGGTGTAGCGACGCAAACGAGGAGAAGTAGAAAAAAAGCTCATCAGCGGACGATCCCCACAACCTCCGTCATCCCTCCGTCACTGCCTCCGTCACCCAGGTCAATGCAAATTGACAATCCAGTGCCAGGTCTTCGGCCCTCATAATCGTCTCTGTTTCCTGTCGCCTCCCTTCCAGCCCCGTTTCAACCTGGAGCTACTGCGATCGGGCTGGTAAACTTGAAATTCTGCACGATGAGTACAGTGCACAGTCTCACACAATGCCACCGTCCTCCGCATGACAGCAGACGCGTCTAGCATCCTGCGCACCTCCCCTCCAATGCGGAGCAGCAACTCCCAACCCCCTTTCCGCACCCTAGGCTTTGCAGCAGCAGCCCTATTCCTACTTCACCCCCCGCTCCCTCGCTCCCTCGCTCCCTCTCCCCCTCCCCTGCCCCTCCCTTCCCTCCTGCCTCCGCAGCTTTCGTTTCTGCAACGGCGCTCTACTGCACAATCTTATCTGGTGCTTGAGCTTCGTTTACACGTCCTTCCATGAATACACATGAAGCCCTAAAAATACACTCTCAGAACCTCCGACACGCGTATTTAACGCACACACATATCAGGAAAGAAAGAAAGAAAGTAATTCATGAGTAAAATGTGTAACTTTTCAATGTTTTTACTACTTTTTAATCTTTTAGTTTGAAGGAGTAGCCCAGGTTGCCATTTTCAACGGGAGTGAAAGAAACCATGAGTGCAGGAAGAATGTTTTTACTGCTATTATTGTTCTGTAAGAATGTATCATTTATGATTTCTTTATGCTTCACGTGTTGCAAAAGGCATACTTCCATAACAACTTTCAACTGTTTGGCAATCTATTTTCTCACATTTTTCTAAGTGTATTTTACATGGGCAATATTAACCACCAATGATGGTTGTTTTTTTGTCAACCACGTGTGGAATACTTTGACAGTAACTCCAATAATTGGTCACTTGCTTATTTGGTGGATTTGTTTGAATTATTTAATCTCCTACCATTTTACCCACCAATCACTCATCCATAAATAAAAATACTGTGTACAATAAATATTCATACACTCAAGTCTCCTCCTACATACATTTTGTTTTTCAGTTTTATTTTGCTCCCATATGCCAATCTGCCCAACAACAATAAATCTAAAAAGTCCAAACACTCACAGTCGAATGTTTACAAATTCCCACTTCAACAACAACAACACAAAAATAAAAAATAAAAAATAAAAAATCTTAGAAAGCCAGGAGGGATTCATTCGGAAAGCTGATAAGGGCAATGGTAGGGATGCAAGTAACATGATGTTGCACATGTACCACTCACTGAATTGGTAAAGACAGAGGGAGGCTAGTAGGGTAGAAGCTATTCACAGATTTAGGCAGAAAGGGAATTGCTTCTCTTCCCACAGTCATGGATGGGTCCAGCATAGAAAGGAGGTAACATGTGGGATTTGGCCCCAGGGAATAAATTTTTATTTTCAGGAGTCACTGGAGAAGAGACTTCCAAGCTTGGAGGGGCATCAGCATCTTCCTCTGTGACTAGGCTGAGGGACTTTTGCCAAGTGTGACATAATTGCTTCGTTGGCTGGCTGACTAACATGACTGGGCAGTGGGCATTTTGGTGGGTGGTCATTGGACAGGGGAGGGGCCAAGGTAGGGGCTGGATGACCATGGCCCATGTGGTATCCTCTTTTGTGCAACTTGTTATCTTCTTATTTCTCCTTTAGCTTATTTTCTATACAGAACCTATATGTTATATTTTATTAATTGTCTTCTTGGTATATTTGGTCATGTTTGCTCATAATTTATATATTGTTGTTGATTTTCTCCTGATTTTTTCTTGCTGTCTGTGTGGATTTGTGATCTGGTGATGCTTTCAATTTCCTGTACTGCACTGCCCTCTTTTCTTTCCCAACACTGATCACTTTCTGGGTATGGGCAAAGAAGGTACAGGTGGCACTTTGACTTCAAACTATTCCTCCTAGCCAAGAATCTTTGTATGAATCATACCCACTAAGGCATATGTTCTCAGTGCTGACATCACAATGGTTGCATCATCATCTGACCTTGTTGAGCTATAATAAGGAATAGAAAAGGAATGAAAAGAAGAAAAGTTATGGTGTCCTGGGACACTGGACAGCCTCCAGAGCCTTTTCATTTTTATCATGTGGATTCTTTGTTGGATCATGTAGGTATTGAATAGTCAAAGGGTTGTTTTGCTGACCTATTTCTCTTTATTAGTAAAAAAGAAGAAGTGGTGGCTACTGACACCTATGTCTATTTTTACTTACATCCTTGTTTGTGCGTGTCTATAACTGTCTCTTAGTCGCTTTAAAATCATGTGTGTGTGAGAATATGTCTCTATAATTTGCTTTGTGGTAGAATTGCAAATCTCTTAGTCTCTTTGAAACAAATATAATGCTCACTTTAGAGTGTGTTCTACATTCATATTTCAAAAGTGAAACTACCAAGGTCCTCATAATCAACTGTAACTGTAGTGATTATTATTATTATTCTAATTGCGTTTCATGAATCATGAACGAATTGGTACAGATTAGCTCTTCCTAATAATAGTAATTTTATAAAGTCCTTGGATTGCAGATCGATTACTTTTCAGGGAACTGATTCTTCTTTTGAATCGATCACGACAAGGCCCAAAGCGATTCCTATGGAGCCCGATAGATTGCGCCTATCCGTGGCTGCAGTAACTTCATCAGTATCGGTTTTTTGTCCTCAGCAGTAGAGGGCTTGTAACCCCGATGGCTGTCGTTGCAGTGGAGCAAGTGGATGAACAGCAGCTGACAGAATGATTCAGCTGGAGTGATAACAGGCAGATGCGATACTTGTCTGCGCATCACAGTATGTGTTGGGCAATGCAATGAAGAACGGCCAGCGTCTTCCTCGGCTCCACATGGTCATGCTTGTCATCGAGAGGCCGAAACTCCGCCAGCTGCTGAGGGATTTAACCCTCCGAGGCGGTGCCATTGTTTCAGACGCCGCCAAACACTTGCAAAGCTTCAATCAAACGCAAAATCAAGCAGGGGGGTCCAGCTCCCTGTGCCATTGAATCGATAATTGATAGACAGAACTGAAAGCATCAAAACTCGCATGTGCAGAATCGACACGTCGATGCATCCTCCTCATCTATGCATCATGAAGCTGCCGAAGACTTTTTCTGCAATAAAAATTTCTACAATGTCGCTGTGGTGGTATCCGCTAAACTACTTCGCATTCACAACAGCACGCTTCCCTCGCTCCGGCCGCAACCCATGATTGAGATCACAACTGTGAAGCCCAGAATACACTCCAAATTCGACTGCAACTGTCCACATAGCAAAACAGAAAACACGATCGCCATATCGGAGGTGCAAATTGCAATCCACACAGACCGGTAGGAATGGCAGTTGAGAAACCAGTCGGCACCAAAAGTTGAATTTCGCAACAGTGATTCGCACTGTGCATACCCCATGCTGTGGAATATATTGTCAATCCCTGCGGTGTCCAAATCCCGCTTCCAAAGTGACCTGTATGGCCCATTTTCTCGCAGACCAGTATTTCCGGTGATTTTTCGGCTTTTCATGTGTATAAACAAGTCTAAATCTGTGCTGTTGCTGTGAACCAGGGAGTTTCTTCTCTTTTCTTTCTGCTTCACACGATTCCAATGATGTACTTATATATTGATCTGTTGTTTACGTCGCCTGTGAAAACGTGGTCCAAATTCTATATTAAACAAAGAAGGCTGTGATCTATTTTTGTTAGAGATAGTGTGTGCCAGAAGCTGAGGTGGATACTTTTTATAAATCGATCCGCCAGCTGTGAAGAGTCGTGCCACGCTTAGCCTGCTCCGCACAAAATTTCGGTGGATTCTGAATCCAATTTTTTTTCTGTTTCTTTTTCTATTTCTTTTTCTTCAACTTCAATGACATATTGAAATTCTTGCACAGTGAAGAGCAATTAACGTCCTGCTCTCCATCCTTTTACAAATAGAGACAAGGTGGTGAATTAATTCGCTAATGACTTGATATAATTACTTATCCACTTACCCACCATCAGTTATATTCCTACCAGTTTGACAAGACATTTGATTATTTCTCTCCTAATGGAAAGCCCAATCCAAAAAAAGTCCATCTTGGGAATTATGCTCACCCACTTGTGCATGCCCAACCTTGGCTGCCTAGATTTTTGTGCCCATGCTATAATGGCTGCTCTACATGGACAATCTAAGGTCATTCTTGTCATGCATTTATACAGCATTTTTTTGGTGATCAAAAGAGTGTGGCTCTGCCATGGATAGTTGCAGTTGAATGCTGTCAGTGTTTGCCTGGTTAAGGAACTTTTTTTCTTTTTCTTTTGACACAAACAGAGATTGTTCTCTATTGCAGAAAAAAAGTTCATATACATAGCCCCAAGTAGGTCCAGGTAGGGATGGTGTAATACATCCTAGGTACTATCAACAGAACTGCTCCTAGGACCAATTAATTTCCACAATGGTTTGTCCACTTTCCACATTGCCATAACATTGTTCACATACCATTGTTGTTGAAATTTCTCAACATACTTTGTTGCTTTATGGAGGCATTTTTTCTTGTTTTTGTTTCATTTTTTTTAAAATTTTAAGCCAAACATTTCTTCCATAGTTAATGAGGTTGAGCCATATCTTGTGATACAACTTTTTCTTTGGCCAATGTACCCCATTAAATGAGACATTGTTTTTTTTGATCCATAATACCTATAAGATGATCCCTTGGAGTAGAAGCTACAATTTATTCATTGTTTTAAACCTCCTCGATATCCAATGTGTAAAAATGCATTGTTTCTAAGAAAGAGAGAATTACATGGCTCCTATTTACTAATTTCAAGGGTATCCAAAATTGTCTAATCGTCCCATATGCCCTAATGGTTCCAAAATATTGGTGACATTGTTAGTAGTCAATTGTATTTGCGCAATTGTGTATTCTAGGCTTTATAAAAGGAGTTGGAGAATGTAAATCTTTCAAAGTCAAGATCTTTTTGTTATTATGTATTTTCAAAAGCAATGAAGTATTTTTTCTTTAATATTTACTAAACACATTGCGTAACATTGATCAATGGTACAATACACTCATTTTTGCCATGAATTCATTGCAACAACATAATGCCATATCAATCAAAGAACTTGGACTTCTTTACAAGCTTGTTCTTTGTTCCACATATTAATTCATTTTGGTGTATAGTTGTAGGATAAAATACCTTCCTACTTCTTTATTACAACATTAGTAATGAAAAGCCATTTTTGAAGTAACAATCAACTTAATTGTGTATTGAATTGCATAAATGGAATTAACTTAGATTATTGAAAGTATG